TCCTTCAACGACGAGGCCTTCACCAACCGCATCCCCAACGAGGGCTTCAACCTTTGCAAGCAGAACCTTCAGGGCACCCAGAACGCTCAGTTCCCTCACCTGACCGCTGCTCCCGGCGACTACGTCTCCCTCCGCTACCAGGAGAACGGTCACGTCACCAAGCCTGAGAACCCCCCCAACAAGCCTCTGAACCGCGGTACTGTCTTCGTTTATGGCACCACTAACCCCCGAGCCAACGATACTCTCTTCGACGTTCATCGCCAGTGGACTGCTGATGGCAAGGGTGGTGATGCCCGTGGCAAGCTCTTGGCTACCCGCAACTACGACGATGGCCAGTGCTACCAGGTCAACGGCGAGTCCATCTCCACCGACCGTCAGGCGAAGTTCCCCCATGCAGCTGCCCAGCCCATGGGAGCCGATATCTGGTGCCAGTCGGCTGTCCAGCTCCCCGAGGATGTTGCCCAGAACTCCGAGTACACTCTCTACTGGGTCTGGTCCTGGCCTACTCTGAAGGCCTCTGCCGTCGCCAACTCCAAGAATGGCCAGTTCGCCGACTTCCCCTCCGGCTTCACGGGCGACAAGCGTGCCGTCACCTCTGATGATGTCACGACCGCTGAGATCTACTCCAGCTGCTCCACCATCAAGGTCCAGGGAGAGGCCCTCGTCAAGAGCGCCAACGCTGCCTCTGCCTCTACCTCCAACAAGCAGCAAGCTAACGCGCTGGCCGCCTTCAACTTCCCTGAGAAGCCCAACTACAACGCCATCGCCGTCAAGGACCAGATCCAGAACCAGTTCCAGGTTGACGTCAAGGGCGACGACACCCCCAGCAACTCGACCATTCCCGGTAACGGCTCTGAGAAGGTTGTCTCTTCCTCTGCCCCGACCACTCCCACGCCTACTCCCACGCCCACTGGCGACAAGGTCCGCACCGTCACCGTCACGGCCGCTCCTGTGACTCTGTATTCGATGCTCACCGTCACCATCGCTCCTCAGGCGACCCCGACTCCTTCGCAGAACCCTGCCAACCCTGCCAAGTTCGTCGACGGCGTTGCTCCCGCTTCGGTCAGCCCTACTCCCTTCCTGAAGGGTCGCCACGTCCGCGGCAAGGACTCCTGGAACTTCAACCCTCGCATCTAAGCCACGGAGGTTATTTGCTTGAGGAAGGGCCACATTATCCTTTCAGCAGTCTCACCAACAGACTTCACTCACAGCAACGACTTCCCTGCTTGAATGTTTCTCTTCTCACATTGCGGTCCTGGTTCGACCGGTTTCTTTTCTTTCCTTTCTCGTCGTTACGACTCATTGACGCTTATGACCCCACGCATTCCATGAACACCCTTGCCGCAATACCACTTTTGGGCATTCTTTCATTTTTCATCGGCCAAACAGTACATACAAAGGATACAGGGCATTGTTTCTCTTTCAACCCCCCTCTCCGGATTCACGGTTACGGAATTGGACAACAGTCATGAGGTCAACGGAGTATGAAGGGCATTTGAATTTTACAGGATACACCCCAGGCGGAATGGGGTGGGGACGGAAAAGGGTTCGGGTTTTTTCATCACAATTGGAGGGGCATACAAACGGTACTGGCATGTGCTGGGGCGTTCAAAGGGGGATTGACCTTTTCGGATGATACCACCTCTCTCTTTCCTTTTTTTTTTCTTTACTTTTCAGGTCCCTGTTCAAGGATTCTATCATGTTTCTGGTCATATGGGTCTCCCACGAGGCCTCATCTTTTCTTGTTTTCTAGATCCTTTCCAGATTTGGGTGTCCCCCTTCCAGGTTGTGTGGCTCGACGCGACACTTAAGGGACGTGGGATGAAACTTGGAGGATGGCTTCGGATGCACGGGGGACTCATGGATGGAAGCCAGTACACTGGGCTAGATGCTCCAGTAGGTAGTCAAATGGAATCAAGTACAATCACTTCTTTGTTGCCTCGTGACACGTCAAGGTTACCGTGACTAACATATCAGTGATGACGAACCGTGACTCAATCCTCTCGCAGCTGGACCTCAATGGGATACAGTAATGTAAGCGCCCAGGGAGTTGAAGTGAGCTTGACCTTGGCCTCTTTGACATGATCCAAGCTGACTGCGTGCTTTCCAAGCTCACACCTGAATGAACCCAGGAGTTGGATCCATGGAGATGGGATGACTCAAAGCTGACATCAATGCGAAATGGGCCAAGGTTTGGATGACAATACTCTCTCAACGGGACTTGTTTGCTTGGATGGTTGGCTGATGGCCATGGCTTGAGCTCGCAGAGCAATATTATCCCACGCAACATCAAGGACTTGGACGAATCCGCGAGCGCTGATTGCTTGCCTCCATGACGACGAAGACAAAAAGTTGTACCTGGGAGCGTGTTTTTGCTCCGTGGAAAGTTGGATGCTATCTAGGCTTGTCTAGCTTCTCAGCTCTAGGACGGAGAGAACCATCACGTCGGCAACGGCGCGAAAACGATTATCATGTTTTGTCATCAGACGACTACCGCGGCTCTTTTAGTAATTCCAGTCCAGGAATAATACATGGTGGGAGGTCTAGAAAAGCTCCAATGGATCTGAAACCAGCCTTGGGCTCCCACTAAGCCGGGATGATGGGGTTGGGCATATCCCTGGGAAACATGTGACTCCAGTCGATTGCTTCCTCCCCCGAGGCGTCCCTAACAGCCCGTAGGTCGTCTCGACTCCTGCAAAACCCGTTCGTTCTCTGCAAGGCTTACATCTCGCCGCACTGGGCGATGACCACATCCTGGTTGGGCTGGTCCTTGCCGCGGTAGCCCGTCTTGGTGGCTTCCATCATCTTGACGACATCCATGCCGTCGACGACCTTGCCGAAGACGACGTGCTTGTTGTCGAGGAACGGCGTCGGGACGGTGGTGATGAAGAACTGGGAGCCGTTGGTGTTGGGGCCGGCGTTCTGGATTTCGGTGTTAGTGAAACTTGGTCGCGAGAAGCCATCGCCGCAAACCCCCCCAGGCTGAGACAGAATAGACGGGGCGAAAATCAGGAAAAGTTAGGTAGAGAAGAGAAACATGAGAAAATCACGCCATAGGAGGCCGCATGGGGGAACTTACCGCCATGGAAAGCAGACCGGGTTGGTCGTGCTTCAGGTTGAAGTTCTCGTCAGCGAACTTGGTCGTGCCGTAGATGCATGTGCTCCCCGTCCCGTCGCCGTTCAGGAAATCGCCGCCCTGGCACATGAATCCCTGGATCTACACGTCATGAACCCATTAGCACCTCTGTATTCCCAAACTTCATCGCGCTTCTGTTTCGACATGCACGACTGCGGGGAGTAACTGACTATACGGTGGAACTTGGAGCCCTTGTAGCCCTGCGGCCGGCCCTGGGCGTTCTTGGACTCGCCGGTGCAGAACTGGCGGAAGTTCTCAGCCGTCTTTGGCACAACATCGTTGAAGAGCTCGAACGTGATGCGGCCCAAGGGCTCACCTACACAGCACAAAACGTCAGCGAACACCGCCGGGAAACATGTGCCCGCAGGCTCGGGATGACCGGGGTCGGGAGGGAAGAAAAGAGGAGCGGGCGCCGGAGACTGGAAAGTCAAAAAGAGCCAAGCCGGGGCTGAGAATGTCAACGCCACGATCTCGTCGGCGATGACAGCAGTCAAGATAAGAAGGAACCCTCCCCTGTCGAACCGCCTGATCGGTGGCAGCGGGTAGTGCATGCAGCACAGAACCTTCGAGCCCAGGCCGTCCGTCTCGGCGGGTTGTCCACGTGCCCGAGATGTGCGAATGGCTTTCTGACTTCACGACTTCCAAGACATAGTGTCTGGCCGACGGGTTCACCAGTCCGTCCGGCGCCGAGCCCGTTTCCCCTCCTTCGCGTCCCCGCACCGCCGAGCTGGTGGTCCTCAATGAGGCAAGGCCTTCACATACCGCCAAGCGTGATATCAAAAAACACCCTGTTGACGCGATGTGTTAGTCTTTTGGGTGCTGCCGAGGCGTGGGCGCGCGATAATAATGGGCAAGGTCGGGGTAAACTCAAGACCCTTCTTTTTCGCTTCCCCGCCTTTGGAGGTTGGGGTACGTTGGACGCGTGGAGCTCAGCCACCGCGATACCTGCAGCCCATGCTTGCGCTGGACGAGCAGTCCCCGGTTGTGGAAGTGGTGGTGAGAGTGAGAGCAAGAGTGAGATAAGGCAGGTGTGCGGCGGAGCTCATTGCAGCCAAGGGGAGTTGCAAGCCAAATCTTGCGGGGGGTAACAGCAAAAGCAGTCGAGAGAGCGTTTGAATGACTTACAGCGGGTTGCCGGATTCCGGGAGCTTTGTGGGAGGCATGGCTGGTAGAGTCGGCCGCGCGATACGTGCGTGTGTGAGTGTACCTGCGGGTGGGTTGAGCCAGAGAAATCAAATGGCGCTTCTTCTCCTGCTGCTGCTGCCTCCGTGGTCCTGGTGGTCTGGTCGATTTCCGAGCACCCGGGAATGGGGCTGTGTTCGGAACTGGTGGAAAGGCGGTCGAGAACTCGCCTGAATTTGAGTTGGTTGGAAAAACGATTCGTTGGCTGGTGAGAAGTGGGAACAGAGTTGTGAGGGGGACCTTGGAGGGGACTGGAGCCGAGTTGTCGGAACGGCTGGTAAAGAGTGGGTACCTCTTCCGCCGGGGCACAGCCGTTTGCATGCCCGGGCGGAGGTGCGGTGAGTACTCAGTATGACCTGCCCAAATGGGTCAATCTTTTGGCGTTTGGCATTCCCTCAAAGAAATGCCTCAACTAGGTGCCGAGGCTTTCAAAGATCGTCTCCATTCAACGTTGGCGTATTCGAAAGGTCTCATGGTAGGTGCGTGCCAGTTTGGACAGTCCTCATGTAAGTCACACCCGGTCTTGTCGCAGGACGTTCAGACGCGAGGCCCATCTTGATGCTTAATACAGCAATGCCACTTTCCAAAGCCAAATCACCGTGTATTACTTGTTACTACCCAAAATGATACTGGTCAAGTGAAAGACCCGATAACCTCATATCCTCGACATAAACGCATCCATTCATGCAACCGGGGGCTGGCTGTCCCCGGTTCTCAATGGCTTCCGTCCGTAGATCGACCAGCTAGCAATGTCAGAAACGCTTTCACGGCAGGGGGGCCAGGGGCCTGCGGGAGTCTTACACATTGAAATAAGCGTGGATGCGTGTGTCGTTAAGCTCTTTTCGAGCCTCCATCGCAATTATGTGAACCTCTGCTTTGGACATATCCAAAGCTCGCGTCAACGGAGCCATGAGAAGTCCATCCAGATTAGGCGAAAGATTCTCGTTGTTCCATGCTCCTAGGTTCTTGTGCTTCTTGTCCTGGGGCCAAGAGTTCGTCGGCCATTTAAACCGTTTCACGTTAACGTCTTCGAACCCGATCTCTGTGAGCATGCTCTCAAAGTGGCTGACGTCTTCAAATGGGGACCCGAGCTTTTCTAGCGCCTCAAAGCAGAGAGAAAAAGCCCGCATAAGTTTGCTGTCCTTCGGGATGGTGTCATCGTCTGTTTTTGGGAAGAAGTCGATATCGTTCAGCTCAAGATATCCTCCGGGAGTGAGATTACTGATAGCAGAGAGATTAGTGGTCAGAAGAAGTACCAAACCCGAGGAAACTTACTCGAAGCAACTCTGGATGAACTTTCTCCAATCACGAATGCTACCCTTCATCATCCGGCTGTGGATATACTCAAAGGGCTCATTGAAAGTCCACGGCTCCTCGATGTCGTCGATCTCGAAACGAACATTAGAGGGGACACTAAAGCCGCAGTCAGCAAGCTAATCGCAGAGGAACCCCTTGGGGTTCTTACAACTCGGGCTGAGAAGGAGACAAGTCAACGCCAATGACCTATATCAGACTATTAGTGTTGTTTGCATTGGAGGTGCCGTGGGATTCATTCACCTCGGCATCGGTGTGGTCCTCCCCGAATTCGATCGCCCACATGCCAGTGCCGGTGCCGGCATCCAAGACACGTCCGACTTTCGAGTTCTTTTCATTGGGCGGCGCAGTTCCCAGGGCATAGTCAAAAGTCTGAAGGTAGAGATTGTGTACAAGGTCTGCCGCGTTGTAAGCGATGAGCCTGATACCCTACCAAAAAACCATACCGAGTCTGTCCAGCTCTGTGTCATCATTAGGTGCCCAGTACTCTGCTTGAATCAGCCTTTGCTCGATCTCGTAGGGCTCGGATGTGCGCATACTCCCGTCCTTGTATCTGTGGTAAGTCCTTCCATTCTCCAGCCTGGACTCAAATATCGATTCTGCGACGGTTGAGGTAGAGCGCGCGACACTGCCCTGAAAGCCACGATATTAACATCTGCTCGCAAAAGGACTGTCCACTTTGGACCGGATTTCTCGGCCACTCACACCATTCAGCGATACGTTGTCGTCCGCATCCTACAACGAACGTGTCAGTGTGTGCGCACGTCACGACCGATTCAGGAACATCTCACCTCTTCAGCCGCAATTGCGGCCGCCGCAGCGACATCGCCCTCATTCGCACCGGCCGCGGTCGTCTCGGCGGCAGCTCCCTGACCGGGCTCCTGGGGTCGCTCAGTTCCCGTGGGTGCGGCGGCAGTGGGGCTGTTGTTGTCGGACATTTTTCTTCCCAGGCGCGAGTGATGGCGCCCCGATTTAAAACTGGTCGGCAAAGTGAACACAAGAGTCGCTCGACACTGATCTCGCTTGTGACAATATACGCGTATGTGCGCTCGAGGGCAGGAGAAATTCAAATGTTGCAAGGCCGAGATTTCGACCTGGGAGATCTTGGGTATTGAGTAACGTCGCCCTACCCCTCTTCTCGGCTGGAGACGAATTATCCATGTTTGCCCACTTCCAGATTCTACACGTATCTGCGACGAAACCCTGGTAAATGGGGAGCATTTACCAGAAGCGGCAGCTGGCGTGCGGCACAGCAATTAACGGGCCTGTGACATTGATTCATCCATGGCGGTGTGGTTTTTCTTATCATACGTACCATAATCTTGCCATCGCTTTTTCATTAAATCTGACGTGTTGAATGCCCAGTATGGATCGCAATATCACCATCGTATATCTCGGGTCTGTCTACCACATTTTGGCGATTGGCATTCCCCACAAGCCCAACGCCAGCCGCTGGCTCTGCCAACGTTCGCTCATAACCTGTCGCCTGCCACAACCAAATCACATACGACCATATCCATCGGAGAATTCGGGATCCCGTCCGCTCTCCCAGAGACAAGCCGATGAGAGCCGGAGTAGTAGTCGGGTCGGTGACGACCGGCGAATGCCTGGTGTTGTATGTCTTTTTGGCAGTTTTGTTGGCTTGAGGCTGGTATCCGTTCTCAAACACGGCGGCCATTTGGGGATAGGACAAGCACCATCTAGCCGGATAGTGAGTTTAGTTATGGCCCTTTGAATGCTTGTAATGCTTGTATAAACTCGACATACGTTTTCGTCGTGGTTGTCGAATGTACGCGCGAGCCCGGTGACTAGACACGAATCCCCCATGATAATTGTACACAACTTCGTGTTTGCCTGGGTAGGCGCGGGTTGACAGTTCAAAGTACATACAGTTTCGGTGTTTAATTAGCAAACAATGAAGTAGGTCTAAGACTGGTTGATAGCTGTCATTCCTCGGTCTCGTTGCTGGAACACATGCCATTTGGAGAACGAGTTCTCAACTCGCCAAGTTCTGGATCGCGGAGTAGTATCAGTCGAAGCGAAGCCGGCTCTCGTCTCCAGTTGCCGCTCTGCAACCTGACTAGAACTGCATGCCGCAGTCTGTCTATACACAGTCAATCCATTGCGCACAAGGCAGCCTACGTCGGATCATGCTTGACCCCCTTATACTCCCGAATGGGCCGTATAAGTCGCAAAGAGCTCGTCTGAGTTCAACGCCAGTAGCTTGCGACCACTCGAAATTACGATCGAGGCGTCCAGAGACCCCCGGGGCGAGGGTGTCGTTGCCAACTTCAGGGGGCATGATGACCGAATATATCTGAAATCCAACAATACAGAAGAGACTAAGGATCGACGGGGCCCCATCCGGCGCAGCTCGCGGAAGGGTCCTCTTCCGTCGGGCCTCCCTAGCACGGGACACCCTCCGTTCCGGAGCCGGCCGCGTCCGCGCAGGCCACCTCAATAACTATGACACTTGACAGGAATGCTTGGCCCTTCCGGACTCGAGTAATTGAACAGCACTGACCCCCAGATAACCCGAGTAAAAAAACCATCTTCTCTGATGTCGGAGGGTCCCCCATGACTTTGAACCCAAGGGAGGGCCGCCGTTGTACATAAGCTTCTTCACCTGAAAAAAGCTTGGTGTCGCAGTTGAAACAATAGATCAGCCACACGAGCTAGACGTGCATGTCTGCAGCTCGTGTCTTTCGCAGACAAACCCAAAGTCTGTCTGGGCAGATTTTAAATTGCACGACACAGGCTAAGAGATTCTCGCGAACGAACTTCTGATCCCAGGGGCCTCCCTCCCTGCGGACCATGAAGACTTTCCGTAAATAAGCCCTGCGAGGTCTTCCCGCTCTTCTCAGACACGTTATTGGCAAGGATGCCACATAGGAAGCAAGTAATACGCAGTCTCGCGTGCCAGTCGCCCCACGCGGAGCATGGCCTTTTCCCGCCCCTCTTCCTTTCGTCGTAGCCGCCCATGAAGTATCTTTGCTGCCGCACTTCTCTCCGGACGCCCAGAAGCACAACCCTCCCGCGGCCTGTTTAACCGCTGGCCGGTGGGGAAAGGAACGCAAAGGAAGGAGACAGGCACGGAAGCGGAGGCCCAGGATTCGGACGCGTAACCGGACTTCGGGTTGATTGAATGACTGGCCCGCCCAGCCCTCGGCCAAGAGAGGCTGGGAACGGGGCCAAGAGGACCTCCTCATCGCTCCACACCTCCGTACCAACCATCGTCTCCGTCGTCGCACACGACCAGAGATGTGGACAAAAGAACTGCGCCATGTCGTGCACTCTGGAAGGACCGGAAAGAATTCTTGACCTGATTTCTCACATCAAAGTTCCTGAGTTGACAGCAGCAAGTGTCCCATTCTGACAACGAAACTAAACCGTCTTCGTCGGGCGGCGCGGAGTTCCAAAATCTGACCGTCCGGGCGTAGACCATCCTCGCCCTTTGCCGTGTTGCCCGCCGCCGCCGTTATCGCAGGGGCTTGCGCTGGGAAGCTTGATTCCAGCAAGTCCAGCCCGCTCCCCGGATGGCGCGGCGTCGAAGATCGACAGCACCAGCCAGGGTGTGCGGAGGGGACGAGGGGGGCCCGCAGTGTGCACAAAGGAGTTGGGGGTTCCATCGAAAATGATCTCATCCATTCCGGCCGACGACCAATTGGCTCATGGCAAGTCTTGAACCAGTCCAGTTCTTTTTTGCTGCAGACTGCAAGAGCAGCAAAACAACCCGTAATAATGGCACCGTGAGACCCCGTCGCCCTCACACGACCGGGGGTGCTGTTATGTTTCGAACGCGGTTCCCCCACATAACCCACGCATGGCCGGGTTGACAGGTCGCCTGCGCGCTCTCGCGCGCGCCAGTTGTATCCGTTTTGCGAAGTGATCACGGTTGCGTCAAGACAGAGTGCCGGCGGCGAGAAGGGCAAGACACGGCGAAGTCTGTTGGACGCCGGTGTTCGGCAGTGGGAGTAGCCAAGATCTGTGATTTGCGATTTTGGAGGTATGATTTGCAATTCGACATCGGGACATGTAGGTCGACCATGAATATTATCACAAATGGCCTGCATAGCCCCTCGCGCCAGTCGTGCCCCGCGAGAGACAACCAACACCACATATGATGGCATCTGCATTCCCCCGATGAACACGCGACGAAGGAGAAGCTCGGGAGTCTCCAGACGACTCGTGGCCTGACATCACTTTCTTCGGGATCGAAGCTTGGGTCGTATTATTTCAACCTTAGGAACTTGTGGGCAGAAAACGGGTTTTGTCTCTTTTTACCCGCAGCGCACGGGAATGGTCAGATGGTGTGCAAAAGATTAAGCTTGCGGGTGTCGGCATGTTGCGATAGCTGACCACGAGTTCCCGGCATTCCCGCTGAGAGACTCTGGTGTGTGTTGGGCTTCAGCCACTGAGATCTGGCGACGATCCCCTCCAACGACGATAAGAAGGTCGGGTGGTTTGTTTAAGGCGGTTCAGGGTCCACCAGCACCCGAAAGAACGCATGCTGCGGTGAGGATGATGATGGCATGATCCTGGCTGTTACAGGGTTCTTGTTAATAATCATCCAGCCTTCGCAACAATCCCTTTTTCCCTAGCATTTCGAGCTTGCTGCTTCAACGTATTTTCGGTGGGTCGCCTGCCAGCATGAGGATTTTGCATGACGAGTGGTTTGCCGAATCGACCACCACCCCAGCCGACGCGCCGAACTCTCAAAGCGTACGGGCGAGAAGAACAAACAAGTGCCGGTTGTGATGATGATTGGCACGGAGGCGCAGGTCTGGACAATGGCCATAGTCCCGAGAATAGGAGGCAAGGCCATACTAACTATGGCCGAATTAACGGGAGCCAAGCCGTTCTCGTCGCCGTCATCGACGGGGGATTGGTGGTGTGTGTCCGGAGTTTGCGGCACTCACCTTCGGTCAGCGTCATCTGTCGAATCAGCCTCCCTGGGCGCTGGCCATCAAATCCCCAGACGCACCGTGAAAAGACTAAATTCTCATACTGTCGGGCTGTTAGCGACGGATCAATCGGCTTCGCTTCCTTCACACGTATCTTACAAGTGACACCGGTTCCTACGTCTTCTTACAGTAGCTTGTTGCACGTCTGGAACCCTTCCAGTCGATGGAACGAACCACGTCTTTGAGCTATGGAAGCCAGCGCAGCGTTCTCTGCAAGCTATCTTCTCTCGACCGGTGAAAATTGGTAAAGCAAGGAGCGTTTTTTGGTTTTCAATTGCATTAGCTAGGCGCCCCCGGAGACTGCAGTGGTCCTGGCGTCGGCCAAGCTTTACTAAGAAGGCGTCTGGGCTCCTTACAGGGGGTTAGAAGGCTTGAGACGGACAACAGTGTCTTGAAGGGACTCGCCAGTGAGGTGAAAGAATTCGCCGTTTGACATCTGATAAGACGTTCGAGACACGCATGTGCTGCATTGCCAGCGTTGCGCTATTATGCTTTTCTTACGTCTGACACCTTTGGTCGGGCCTAAGGGACACTGACTGCCAAGACAACACTCGATTCCTCGACTAGGTGAGTGGCACTGATAAGTCAACGAAGAGGCGCCAGACGGAAGATGCAGATGCGCCTTTTGGGAGTGCCGACGGTAGGGCCCGAGGAGTTGAGGCGACACGTACAAAGGAGGATGCATTGACGGTGCCTGAATCAAGTGCGATACAGAGCACATCGCTGAAGATTACATCGTGGCGAAAAGCGTCGTCTTTGTCTGTGATGCTGAAACATTGGAAAACTTGGGGTGAAATCAGTTGCCCGTCGGTCTAAGCGTTCCGGTCACGACCATCTGAACTTCCCACTGGCTGCAGCGGTATACGACACGCGCGTTGTTCGTCATGGGCAGAAGTCAAGAGCTATTAATTGCTCTTGTAAGATTTGAGCTGACTGATCGTGCGTTAGATCGCAACACTGAGATGCAGGTTCAA